CATATGCGTGAATGAATGAAAATAGTAAGGAAAATAAAGAAAAGTCATATCTCCTCAACCACTCCACCAAATCCGACGATCTTGGACTCGTCAAAACCACCTCCACAGCCTCTACAACTCCTACTATTACCACGACTCACCAAGCCTAGTCCCTGATGCAGTAGGGGGTGAAATGTGTGATAATGGTTGGTTTGACCTGCACGGACTTGTCCCCACAACAACGTCGATTGGGGTTCCTGAACCTTCAAGGTAATGACGCCACGATCGGAATGCATCATGAATGGCGAGCAGTTCCTTATCATGGGTGTCATAATTGAGCTCCGGCACCGAGAGTGTTCTCGAGCAGAAAGCGATGGGGAGAATCTCTCTGTCATCACAGCAGATGGACAGGATTCTGGAGATTGCATAGTCGGAAGCATCGGTTTCTACAATGAGGGGGGCGTCGGGTAGCCAATGTGTAAGGATAGGAGCAGAAGTGAAGGCTTCCTTCAAGGTGTTGAAAGCAGAGCGACAATCGTCAGAGAATAACCAGGGGGCTCCTTTACGTGTGAGGCACGTCAAGGGGACCACAATGTCGGAGTATTGGTGGATGAAACGCCGATAGAAGTTAGCGAAGCCAAGGAAGGATTGGACATCCTTGACTTTACAGGGCTCGGGCCAATCTTGGACGGCTTTGACCTTCTCGATGGACATGGTGAGTCCGGAGGGAGAGAGGCGGTATCCGAGATATTCTGTAGTGTCCATATGAAACTCGCATTTCTTCGGATTGGCGTATAGGCCGTGTTTGTGGAGTCTCCTAAGAACTTCTCGGACATGCTCCTGATGTGAAGCCATGTCTTCCGAGTAGGTAAGGATGTCGTCTAGGTAGACTACCACAGAAACGTCCAAGAGGTTGGCAAAGATTGTGTTGATGAATCACTGGAAGGCCACGGGTGCATTTGTGAGACCGAATGGCATGACAAGCCACTCATAGGAACCATAGTGTGTGCGGAAGGAGGTCTTCCATTCGTCGCCTGCTGCAATGCGAACCAGGTGGTAAGCATGCCAGAGGTCGAGTCTGGTGTAGACCGTGGCACAGCTAGGTGCGTCAAGGAGGTCGGAGATGCGGGGGAGTGGGTAGCAATCCTTTTTGGTGATCTTGTTCAGCCCTCAGAAGTCAACGCAAAGATGGAGGGATCCGTCCTTCTTGTGGACAAAGAGGACCGGTGCTGCATGAGCGGAAGTAGCGGGACGAATGAACCCGGAGGCCAGGTGTTCATCTAAGAACGCCTGGAGGGCCTCAAGTTCCGAAGTAGAGAGAGAGTACATAGTACCCAAGGGTGGTGAAGTGCCTTCCTCAAGGTCGATCTTCAGGTCGTACTCACAGTGTGGTGCCAGCATCGAGGCTTTGCTCTTGCTGAACACATCCGCAAACTCGTGATACTCCTTCGGAATGGCTGAGAGGTCGACGGAATCGGTGTGGGATGAGGCAGCCCTCAAGCGGCTTTCCTCGGAAGGGATGGTTAGGCTGAAGGATACCGATCCTTCAAGTCGACAAGCCTTCACGAATGCGGAATGGCTGACGAACTCGATAGATGGTAATGGAGGAGTGGGAGCCTGTGACTGAGGTGCTGGCGAAACATCAGATGGTTGGATGTCAGATGACAGCACTAGTACCGGAGATGACAGGGGAGAGCTCGGAGTAACTGTCTTGGTAGGTTCGGAAGTTCAGAACGTAATACTGCTTGAGACCCAGTCAATCAACAGATTGTAGCAGGTAAGCCAGTTGTGTCCTAGGACTAAAGAACAAGATCCATCCAGCGATGTGACAAAGAAAGTCGTGGGGGTGATGTTTCCGGAAGCGAAGCGGAGGGGAATATCAATGGCATGGGTTATGATTGAGTTGGTGCTACCGTCAAATAGGCGTAGTTGTAGGGGTTTAATCTGATATGTCTTCAAGGCCAACTTCTTTACGAATGTGTCTTCGATGAAGCAGTCCGAAGACCCAGAGTCTATGAGTGCGGGTACGTTCTCATAGGAGCAGAAAAGTTTATTTTGTGTCCTATCATTGGACAGAGGAGAAGGGACAGGGGAAGAGAAAGAAGAGAAACGGAGAGAGGTGGATCGATCTACGGAAGTAGTCGGAGGGGGCGGAGGAGAGAGTGGTACATCAGCAACACTATCTACAACGGGTAGAACATTAACCGAAGGGTCAACATTGAGAGGAGAAAATAGACCATTTGAAAGAGAAAAAGAAATGGGAATATGAAGGGAGGATAAGTCGGAGATGGAAGATGCATTTAAATGCACTTCTTTGAGCGCACGGAAGGAAGGATCGCAACCCCCGGTCCGTGCGGAGTCCATGGGGGTGCAGACTAATTTTTTGCTTCTGCAGAAGCGGATCCTTGCTCCTCGGTCTGGGCCGAACGGGCCTTAGACGCGCGAGAAGACGACTTGGGGCAATCCTTGACCATAGGCCAGACTGACCACAGAACATACAAAGTTTCTCATCGAGACGACGCTTACGCTCTTGTAGCGTGAGCTTGCCGTTGTCTCCGAGTTTAGACAAAAGGTCCGGTTTAGCAGAGCTGGCCTCGGACTTCTTGTTGTCCTTCAGAGGCTTGCTACTGGAAGCGGAGTTGAAAGAGGAGGAGGAAGGGACGGGGTTGGGATGAGAAGCGGCGTTGGACTTGTCGAAAACGTTAGAGGAGGAGGGTTTCACGTGACGTGTAACTTCAGATTTACGCTCCCAATAGCGCACATCGAGAGTTTGCGACAAGGTGCGAAGTTCCGAAAGAGTAGAAGGTTTACCTACTCTGGCAATATCGTCCTTGATACGTTCTGGCAATCCATTATAGAAAAAACAACGAAGCATGGCTTCTCCGTAACCATGAAGTTGAGAGGTGTGTCAGTTGAACTCGACAACGTATTTATTGATGTGGTGCCTGTCCTTCATGTCCAGGGTCATTAGTTGAACTTCGGCGTCACCCACAGGATCATGAGGACCGAAGTTCGTTTGAAGTTTGTTGACAAACTCTTGATAGTTATTCATCCATCGCGGACGAAGCGTAGAATTTTGGTCGAATAATAGATCCGGCCCAAACCAATTGAGGGCCATTCCCTTGAGGTAGGACTGTGCAAAGATGACCTTAGCGCAGTCGCTAGCAAAAGTGAGGGGACGGTCCTGGAAATTGAGTTTGCATTGGACCAGAAATACTCGGAGTTCTTGGGGATCTTTCCTGTCGAACTGTTCGGGCTCATGGACCTTGGTCCGGAGAGCAGAGGATGGTGGAGGTGGTGGACAACCGGTGTGACGAGCCAAGCTGGCAATGGCTTGGGCTAATTGTGCAATAGCCACGTTGGGGATGGGTTCGGCATCGTCGGTGGTTGGGACAGTGGGGATGGGAGGATCAGCAGGAGGAGGGTCGACGAAGTCGGGGACCTTGGAACCGAGTCCAAAGAAGTGGATGGGGTCTATGGGTTGTTCCGTGGTGTCTCCGAAGTCGGAATCTGCAACTGGTGATCGATTCCTAATGGGATGCATGATCGGAGTCGATGGAAGAGGGGTTTCAAGATTAGAAAAGCTTCGAAACTCAACTGGGTTTCTCGCCAATCGACTAGGACCAGGCTGTGAGGGTTCTGGGGATGGTGAGGCAGAGTTGGGAACTAATGTGCATAGTTGCGAACGAGTGCGAGGGGCTTTTGGTGCCATACAAGACATGTACTAGTCAGGGAGTAATAAAATACTGTCAGAGACCTGGTCAAGACGAAGGAGTGTCTCCATGGCGGAGGGCTTCGGCCTCAGCGACTTGTGCCAGGAGCGCTGTGCCAAGTAACACGTCCATGCCCTAACTTACTAAGCTGGCAACCAGAACTGAAGAGGGTAAACTCTAGTCGATTTTATTACTGGAGTGTAACCTATGTACAAGTTGAGTATAGATAGTTACAGCGAGGGCGGGTCTGCAAATGGTGGAGCCAAGCAGAGCGGAGCTAACAGGGTTAGACATTAGCCGATTGAATATTACCGACGAGTCGGGTTACAGGGTTAACGGAAAGGCAGGCAATAACCCAGAAACAGAAAGGAGGGATAGGCCCAAAGGTGGGCTTTGCAGGGCAAGCAAGTGTATTGTCCAGTGGAGGTGGGAGTGCACTAGCGGACGTTGGAGCTGTCCAGAAGCCTTCGGGGCTCCGTACTTAGGGAGGCATAGGTAATAAATTGAAAGGAGGGGGTGGTGACCATCAAGGGGTACCAAGGGGATTGCGGAATACAGGAGCTCCGAGGTTAGTGAAGAAGGAGCAGAAGTAGACCGGAGGGATCGGAGGGATCGGAAGTCGATGGCCGGGGATGGATATGACAGACCACCTTAGACAACAAAGCAACAGCACAGCACTCCACCTGAGTCGCTGAGGCCAAGGTCCCTCCTTCCTGAGTCCCTTCTCTGCTTCCAGACAATTGGGTGCTCTTATAACAGCACCGCACCTTCCTTCCTTTCTTTCTTTCCTTCCTTCCTTCTCTCTTTCCCTCTTTCTTTCTTTCCCTCTTTCTTTCTTTCCCTCTTTCTTTCTTTCCCTCTTTCTTTCTTTCTCCTACATGGAACCACCTTTCCCTCTGTTCAATGTACCACTGGCACACATGCCACATGCCCCTCCTGTACCTACCATCCCTACATTGCCACCGCCACCACACTCACCTTGCACCTACAGTGGACCCTCTTGGGATCTCCCATGGAAACATCCAGAGAGCCACAGCTGTGTGTGAGGGTGATGTGGCACACCCCACATGACCAACCCTGCATGTATATAATAACAGCTGGAGTGGGAACTGAAGAAGTAGCCTTCTTCTCACATTCCCACTTCAGACTAAGTGGTCAGGGATGCTCACCCCATGATGGGACCACTGCTACACATAGCTGCTACTCATCCCATCAAGTCCCGCACACCGGGACTTCGCTGCTTTCAGAGCTGTCCCTGACAGTGAGTGACTGGGAAGGAGTCTGCCAGTACACCAGCAATAAACAATGGGAGGTTAGAGGAAGACATGAGTATTCTTGACAATAGAATTGTAACTATCCAATCATAATGTGTCTGTGAGTAGCAACCAGTGAATTAATATTCTATCAATAGTTTGCAATCAAAGAAATTGAGGTTGGATTTATTGGTGTTCTCCAGTCAAATATCCAATTTGAGCTTTCCCATCATGTGCAAGCAGCAATGTGGATAATGCAATGAGAACATGCTCAAATGTGAACCATTTGTGCCTCGGAATGACGTCCAAGATTGGTAAGAGCATTGCGTAGATTCTTGAGTGAGTTGGCCAATTTTGGGGTGAATGCTCCTGGGTTAATGGCAACTAGCTGGTGCCGGAGCTTGACACTTTCTTCAATGAATGGGAGCCCCTCCGAGTGCTGTCCGAGATCTGAAAGAGCATTGTATAGATTGTTGAGTGACATGGCCAAATCTGGGGTGTATGCTCCTGGGTTAATGGCAACTAGCTGTCGACAGAGTTTGACACTTTCTTTGATGAATGGGAGTGCCTCTGAGTGCCGTCCAAGATCTGAAAGAGCATTATAAAGATTGTTGAGTGACATGGCCAAATGCGGGGTGTATGATCCTGGGTTAATGGCAACTAGCTGGCGATAGAGTTTGACACTTTCTTCGATGAATGGGAGCCCCTCCGAGTGCTGTCCGAGATAGGAAAGAGCATTACGTAGATTGTTGAGTGACATGGCCAAATCTGGGGTGTATGATGCTGGGTTGACAGCAACTAGCTGGCGCCGGAGTTTGACACTTTCTTCAATGAATGGGAGCCCCTCTGAGTGCCGTCCAAGATAGGAAAGAGCAATACGTAGATTGTTGAGTGAGATGGCCAAATCTGGGGTGTATGATCCTGGGTTAACAGCAACTAGCTGGCGCCGGAGTTTGACACTTTCTTCAATGAATGGGAGTGCCTCTGAGTGCCGTCCGAGATCAGAAAGAGCAATATATAGATTGTTGAGTGACATGGCCAAATCCGGGGTGTATGATCCTGGGTTAACAGCAACTAGCTGACGGTAGAGTTTGACACTTTCTTCAATGAATGGAAGCCCTTCCAAGTGTTGTCCGAGATTGGAAAGAGCATTACATAGATTGTTGAGTGAGATGGCCAAATCCGGGGTGTATGATCCTGGGTTAATGGCAACTAGCTGGTGACGGAGTTTGACACTTTCTTCGATGAATGGGAGTGCCTCCGAGTGCTGTCCGAGATTGGAAAGAGCAACATACAGACTATTGAGTGACTTAGCTAAATGCGGGGTGTAGGAACTTGAGTCCACAGAAAAAAGGTAACGGCAGAGTACAACAGAATCATTCGCTGCCTCATATGCCTCCTGGAATCTCGAAAAAAATCCCAGGTTCCACGAAAGCTCGGTAACCACATGAGCCAGTGCACTAACAGCCCTGCAGTCAACAGCCAACTGGAAGACCATGAGCTAGTTTCTTTAACCCATTCCATAACCCATACCTTAGCCCACTCAGGGAGTAACGAGATACTGATGTAGTTTTCCATTCTCACACAGACTTCCACCCACCGAGTTGCTTCCTGACTCAGAAACATACTAACTGGCCCAGCAAGCTCCTCAGACCGTCCCCGAACTCCACTGAGGTGATGGATGATGTGGCGACATGCATAACGAAAGTGCTCGGAAAGCTCCTTTGGAGGGATGCGCGGCATTTCATCTTTTTCGGACAAGTTTCCAATCTGACCTAAGCCCTTCACAGAGCAAAGATCCTTGTTCAATATCTCGGTACACCGCAGGGCAACCTTGGCATTCTCCACCCCAACAGCTATGTGAGTGTAACGAGGGCTGATTGTTCGGGGATCGATCCGATCAACAATAAAATCGCGGAAAGATTGGTGTATGATGCGAACCGGAATGTGGGAATCCTCAACCCCTGAGAGCAGAGGAGCAAGTTCAGCCAGCGCATATCGAACAGAAGAATTGAGGAAAGGCGACAAAATTGCATCCCAAGCCATGACGGACAGAGGCTGCTGAGCAACGAAAATCGCTCCCATCACAATCGGGTAGTCATGCACAAAATCTTCATCCTCCCAATCAAACTTCTTCAAAATCCTCGTATACAGGTCATCCATCATCTTCTCAGTGGGCACCTTTGATCGATTGGTCCCGGTGTTGAGCAGGCTCTCTAGTGTTCTCATAGGATTCTTCCTAGGATTCTTCATGTAACGAAAGATGGTGCTGATCCAAATAAACAAGCCGCCTGCTCGATCCAAGATCTCCTTTACCGCACTATCCTCGTCCTCCAGTTTATGCACTAAATCGGGATGCCAATTCTTAAGCTCTTGTAGCTGGAAACAGATGTACACAGCACAGTCGTCCATATTTGTGTCATCCAGGAGATCAATGGTGAGGTGATCGACAGGAAAATGGCGTGAGAGGGAGCGATTAACAAGATCAACATGTCTCGAAGTAACGAAAAACTTTATGGAAGACGGTAACTTGGGTACTTCCTCGCAGAGAATCTTAGCAAGGGGATGATACGCTTCTTCGTCACATTCGTCTAAAGCATCGATAATGACCACCATAGGATGGCTGGGAGGCGGAGGCTTATGAAGGAGAGGTGAAGCCACCAATTCCTTGAACTGCATCGTGAATGAGGCTGTTGATAGGGTGGGGTCTTTCCGAAGGGCAGAGATAATGAAGGCACGGTAATCTGCATCACGCTTTGCTAGAGCTTGAGCAATGCCGCTGAATAAACGGTCCGGCCGTGGCTGTTCCCCAACTGTGAAGAAAAAGCACAGCAACAGAATAATCTCCTTGTCACATCTATCTGCAATCGTGTGCACAATCGAAGTCTTGCCAGCGCCGGCCACAGAGGTCAGTAGCATCAGCCGGTTCTCGTTATCCCCGGTGTTACGACACCAGTTCATAATACGCTCCGTAAGATCGACCCTGGTGCCTTCTAGGCATGCCTCTGTTGAATCATGGTGGGCGATTTGAGGGTATCGGAGATTATCGAGGATTGGGTCACACTCCAGACGGCCTAAGCTGTCCTCTATGGTCGATAATTTGACACCAATTGTTAAATTCGTCCTAAGCTGCGCCGGCGGAAAATTAGAATGATTATGGAACAATGCCACGAGGAAAGCTACCTGAAACGATGCCAACGCTTTGTCAAAACCTCTCTTTAGGTCCTCAATTCTTCCAGGGTCTCGATAGTGGGACCAGGCATTTCTTACAGCTGACCGTTCCTCTACTTTTTTAAGTCTTAGTTCGATCTCGGACTGGATCTCCTGTAGTGCGCTGGTACTGGACGTAAGTATGATATCGGAAACCACCAAAAACCAATACAACGTACTTCGCGAGCTCTGTGACACCCTCCACCCATGACGTTGCCTCTTTCGTTGACACATCATAAGACTTTATGGCTGAAACTACCCTGGCCATAGTGCTAGCCACGTATTCACCAAAATCAGCCCATTGTTTCTTGTTCCCCTTGAACTTCTGCGTGGCGCAAACTAGCGTGAGCTTTCATTCATAATCAAGCTTGAATCATTACCAACTTTAACCTCGTCGATGATGGAGAGTGCACCGCCAGTCGCCATCTTTAGAGGGGGACACCAATCAACGGTAGCATTGACGACCCTGAGAATTGGAACCGCCACATCAACTCCCGCCACAAGGAGATTATCGATCTTTTGCCTGAGAGCTTCAGTCTTTTGCCGCAACGACATGGTCGATAGTGGACGAGTGGACGGAGGAGCAAGAGAGCTTCGGGCGCGCAACGCACGTGAGCCCCTAAATACCCAGAAGCTAGAGCCACGAAGCATCCGTCTGATTATGATATACGCATTGACTATTTGGTCGACCATACATACGGACCTCTGATCCAGTACTATCAGCGGCGAATTCTAGAGTCCACTGCACGAGAGCCAGTATCCCAGTGCTGTTGATGTGGCAACCCGTCGTCGCGAGGCAAAAGGGCCAGCAGACCACTAAGCGCCATATTGCCGATGTGGTGCAACCGTAGGCAGGATCCCAGCCTCTACGTGCAACCGGGCCACACAATTCTAGGTTGCCAAAGCTCTAAAACATCACGTTGTTTGCCCTTTTAGTTTCACCTTTGTCTTGCAGCGCCGTCAGTGCCGCGAAGCCACTTGTCAAGCACAACGGACGACCTGCAGCACGATATCTAACGAACAGTGATATCGTGCTCAGACGCTCGTCGGACCACTGATAACACCACGTCCTTACAATTTACATCACATACCTCGCTTGTTTTTTGAGTGAGCGAACTTATGCCCCAAAACTATAAGAACACATTTTCACTTCACTGAACGCTGCCCCATCGCACTCTGACACATGCCCAAGGTGTAAGACAAACGGACATTTGTAGCGCCAGCCTGCTCCTACCAGTCGCCAAAGATGTTGTGACATATCCAAATTTGTCGATTCGACCCAATAATCCAACACGACAATCCATACAGTTCAGCAGGTAGATGAACGACCAGATTTGCCTCAAGAAGAGGGAACTCGCAATTGCTAATCTTCGGGCGGACCCCACAAAATGCACCGACCACTCGCGTTTCCATTGACCACTCGCTCGGCGATGCAGGGATACGGCCTGTACAGCGGTCACTCAAAGAAATTACACTTGGTTAGAGTACCACACACTCGGAGACCACGTCATTACTTTGAGCGATTGGCGAGCTTCACAATCTCCTCTCCGTTGAACGCAATGATATCTAATGAATGATCCATCGATAAAAAGTTCGACTTCAGTCGTTCCGTGGATATTGTATGAACTAACAGTGAAGTGGGATGGTTCATTGAGATTCTGACTCCACTGAACCTTCGGCACCGTCAACAAACGTCCAGTCTGACAGTTATGAGCTTTTTTAGCTTTTTATATTAGTTGGGGAAACTTTAATTTCCCCCCCGATGAGAGGCAAGCATCCAGATTCCAAACTTATTCCGCGCAGGTCAGTGAGAAGTGGGGGCTCCGGATATGAACGAAACTGACTTCTCAAATTATCGTTGTCACTATTTTCCCCCCTCGAGGTCCCCAAAAAGCTGAGCTGACACTGTATTTATGCTCAAATTGCCCGAGGATACAGCCCCGACCAAGTTTTGATGAAAGAATATCCGTGACAGCCTCGTGATCTGCTTCTAGGACAGGAGGCGGTTTCACTTCAGGCGAGCTGGAGCCGTCATCATCACCCTCAACAAGTGCTCCAGTTTCAATTAACATAAGCTTTCGAACGTCCCATATTCTGCCATTGGAGGAGCAGGTTAAGTTCAAAGCACTAGTAGCATTGCTGACGCTTACTTCAGGGAGGTGCACAAAAGATGACTCCTTCCAGCAGCAGGATTGATGCTGAAACCAATCTTCAATTTAGCGTTCACTTGTCTCCGTAATCGGCTGCCTTCCCGGAGGAGTGTCGGGGTCGAGGCAAGAGAAAAAAGCTCAGTAGATTGCCCAGATGTAAAGGAGGTCACACCCAGCGTGGAACCATAGGATGTCGTAAAACCCTGTGTAACTGATTAAGCCGAGCGATTTCCATCCGCACCGCCTTCAACTCACACTATGAGCACTGGTCGGGCTGAATTTGATGCAAGATATTGAGCTCTTTGGGGATCTTAGCCAATGAGGCTGTAAGCGCCAATATCATCATCTTCATCCTCGTTCGCTTCGTTCTCTTCCGATGGCGCCAGCGCATCCCAAATACCAAGCTGGCCATGCTTATCCCAAACAAAAATGAGATTTTTCGTTCTCTCCGGGTGGTAAGCCATGGAATAAACCCTCTCCCTCGTAACCTTGGCTCGCGATCGCATGACCATGCGGCTAAGTCTTTCCCTAAGATCATTGATATCAGGATCGCTACCCCGTAGCTGAGACTTCTCTGCAATCTTGCGAGAGTTCTGTAGCCGTGTCTCGACAGAATATACGTCCTTGCAGGCAGCTTCGAGTGTATCCCCTAATGGTGAGATTGATTCCTTTGTGTCGTCCTCGTCGCCGACAAGATCGTCCAGAGACAGATTTCCATGGCGCGGACGCTACGCTACGCGTTTAAGCCCTAGCACTGCAAGTCTCTCCTCTTCTTCGCGTTTCCTCTTTGTTTCCAGCTCTGCCTACAACAAAGAGAAGCGACGTCGAGAAATGGTACGCCAGACACGCGCTTGACGCGGTCATTCGAGTAAGTTGCGAGCGTACGACGACACTGACCAGCCTTTGTATGGGAGTATCATCCAGGCTTGCGTGCAGATGGGCAAGTCTGGAGGACTGCCTTCGGGGAGCATATGTGTTCTCCTTTTTCACTTTCTCCGCCTTCCGAGGCCGGACTGGATGGGCCCGTTCGGTCTTCCCTGAAGTTTTTATTTTTGCAGACTTAACGGGCAACATCCCAAGGGAATAGGAAGCATCTTTCAGGTCCAAGGACGCCAAGAGTGCTTCATATTTCTTCGGCGGATTTCCTCGCTTTGTCGTGTCGCTCAAGCATAGATCGCTGAATGAGTAAGACGTGGACTCACTAGTCGATGTCCTCCTCCATAATGACCCAAGAGAGCTTCGGGAGGTAACAGTATCCGCCTGCTTTGTGGGTCGGACCTTGGCACAAATACAAAAAGCACGTAGGAGGTCAGGTGGTTGGCCGAGCTCTGTGAGGCCTTCGTTTCCAGAGTTCCCCCTTGTACGCACGGTGTATAGAGTAGGGAAAGCCACCATCAATGGGGCCGCGGCAAGACAGACCCGCAGAGTTCACCTGATTGTTTTGGTGGGAAGGCACCGTGGGAAAACGCACGGATCCAAATGGGTCAGACTCGCCGCTTAGCATTTTCTCAACACTTGTCAGTAAATTTGCATGCAAATACTCCTGCCCAATATTTGCGATAAATGAGACTGTAAGGGTCTGTGCTACCTGTTCCAATTCCATTTTTTTTTACTTCCCGCATTGCTACATGAACAAAAACTCCATCAGGCTTGACCCCGGGTACGTCGACGGACGTAGATGTGTTGCCAAGAAGGGGAACAAATACTCGTCGATCGCAGCAATTCGTCCCTCTTCCTTGTCGTAAAGTCAAGCAGATGCCATGAAAAGGGCTTCTGACTAAAGAGTATGTCTTTGCGTCTGCAGACAAAGGCCTCATGAAAACAGGGTGGAAAAGACCAATGGGAAGACCCCTCTGTTCATATCCGTCGCGCGAGCAAGTGCAACATCTCGCCCTTGAGCGGAAAATTATCGTTATTGAAAAATAGAGAAACGAATGTATCGAATCCTCACCATCGTCTTCCGACCGCCTGTGACAGCTTCCCAGTCCCGTAGCCTCGTGGATCACTGCTTTCTTGAGAAAAGTCACGAAACACCGGGCAAATGCACGAGCAATGCCTCTCCACCTGAAATGGTCAGACTTGCTCCTGCCTCACGCTGAGGTTTTTGATCCTCGTGTCGGAAAACGCCTCTCTGACTTGCTCCCTGCGCTCTTCAGGACCCGCATCAAGGAAATTATTTGTCGAATCCGTGCATTTCCACACTTCGAGTTCCGCTGCAGCAATCTTGGCAAGGGTGGATGGCGCCTTATCCTTGACTATTCTTCTTCAAGCTAGCAACATTGGTATTGGCAGATACTCCGACCTCGAAGGGCGCTCCAATAGGCCTGTTTTCGTGATCCATGAGGAGGCACCAGAGTTTCATGGCGGTGGTTGGGCCACCTTGTAGCAACCTCGAATGCTTGCATGGAATCTCCATCGAATCAAACGATAACGCGGGTAGGATTGCTGATGCACCCACTCATTGGCCGAGCTTGCGAGGCGTTGTTTACAGAGGGGTTAGTTTTTTTTTCGTGGGAATATACCGTGTGAAAGTGTAATCCCACCCCCCCATGGCCACCCCGTGAGAAATGGCCACCCCGTGGGATCTGTGCAACATCGGATCCAAATGTATATCTCATCCGTGCAATGTGTGTGCCACAAAATATTGCGGCAACACTTGCAGTGTTGTATGTTAATAAATACATAATAATCATAACAATCATTTAAACTATATATTTATTAACTTTGAGGGAAACTTAGGCTCTATGTAGCCTTTTAACCTTATCAACATAAGAGGGATGGCTCACCCGTGATATTGTGGCTGTGCTACATACACGCGCGCAAGCTGCAGCCCTCTCTCTCCCTCTCTGCAACTCCTTGCTACTGGCTCTCAGGCCCTTTCTGCAAAGCCTTAAGTGCCCTGGGCTTAGGATTTTGTATAAGTAGTACTATTTGGAGCAGATCCATAGGGTTCAAAGGTCTACTGAAGTGCGACCCCTGTCCCCCAGCCCCTGTGTTAGCCCGCACAGACTGGGATCAGTTCAGCAGTTTAAGACCAGCACCTCTCATAGCCTACAAGTTGTAGGGATTCCTGGCCCCTTTTTTCCTTTTGGAAAATACGTCAGCCTTGCTCCTTACTGCAACTTGTGCAGCGAGCCTGTTCCCTGCTTCACAATAGGAAATTTATTCAATTTGCCTGTAATAGGGCATATTGCCTTTGCAGAGGCCTTTTCTGTTTATACTGTGTGCACATTGAAGCTGTGGGTGCAAGAATATTTATAATTAACATCTTATGGAGTTAATTTAAATAAATTTTTAGATGCCAACTGAGGATGAGATCCTCCGTGCAGAGAAGATGAGGAGAAGAAATGAGAGGAAGAAGCTGAATCGTGCAGCTAGCCAAGGATCGCTACATACACCACTCACTCAAATCCATTCTCAATCAACTGTTGCTGGGCCCTCCCAACCACCCAACTCTTCTGGGACATCTCAACAGAGATCCCAACATAATCGAAATCCATCTATTGGGACACAGCTTGCCCTTGACCTTCAACAACTGGATGTCCAATCTCAGGTTGGGTCTGAAACCCCTGAAATTCCTAGGAATACACTACGTATGTTGTATTCAGTTCTCAGTAGAATACACAGAATAACTTTCTACACAGAAATCACTCCACCAAGCTCTGCTGGTCCTCGACTTCACTCTGACCGTCTCTCACATACTCCTGAAGAGACACATAGACAGCACCAGAGGACTCGTATTGGGTCTCCAGCTCAAGGTGGAGCTGATGTTGGCATGTATTCACCCTCTGGGCCTCTTGAGCCTTTCTCCCTTCCTGGGCCTTCATCTGTGCCTCAAAGTCATCATCATGAATCATCTCAAGATTCCGTTCAAGTTCATAATTCTCCAGAGCCAATGCAAAGATGCAATCGTGGCCATAATGCACCTGTCTCTGCATTTGATGGAGATAGGAACAGGTGTCGGAGATGTATTGACACTGATCGCAGGTACAAGGAGGCTCGCCAAAAAGCAGCCCAGGAGCAAATGGTGGATCAATCTTCACCTCCCCCCTCATCTCCCATTTCATCACAGGAACAACCTTCTCCTGCACCCTCTAGGCCATTATCTCCTCTGCCTTCATCCTCACCTCCAGACCTATCAGATTCACAGTGGGATCAAGGGCTCAATGATGAAGATTTGATGAGAGGATTTGCATCTGCAGTATCCGCCAATGATCGTGCTCTGTTAAAAAAGTTTCGAGAAGAGCTGATGAAGGTTCAAATGGAACACTGTGATGCTTGCCATGAGACATGGTTTGACTTGAAAGTCAAGGATGGACATTGTGCGAAGTGCAGAAAGGATGCGATCAAGTATACAGCAGCAAATTCCATGGACCCAGGCTGCAAGCCACAGTTCATTGTGGACGATCCTTCTTTGGAGCTCACACAGATCGAGGAGATGCTGCTTGCCCCAATTCATGTTGTCATGCAAGCCCACACTGTGTATGGTGGACAGATGAAGTATTCTGGACACATTTGCAACTTTGTCCGTGATACTTCTGAAGTTCGCCAGTTGCTCCCCATCCTTCCTGAGGAGTGTGAAGTCATCCAGATCCAACGGGAGGGTCCAGATCATGTCCTTGGTCATGATGTCCAGCATCTCTACTATGTTTGGCGCCATGTTGTTCAGCTGTGGTTAGAATGGCTTGTTGAGCATCACCCAGCATATCAACATGTCATTATTAGCCAGGAGAATCTGTCCCAACTTCCAGAGAGTGGTAGTGTCCAGCACCGCCTACAGTCCATTAGGATCAGTGAAGCAGGTGATGAAGGAGATGATATCCTGGGGCCATCAAATGGAGATGAGACTGATGGAGCAGAGGGGGGAGGGCACTTTTCACATCAGGATTTGTTCCAAATGTGAATGAGGAGCGAGTCTCTGAGCTCCAAAACTTGCGCATGGCAGCACAGGCAGGACAAGGGCCTATTCTCATGCCACACATTGAGTCCCAGCCAATCAGTGAATGGCATGACAATCCTATTGCCTCAAGGGCTTTCCCTAGCCTCTTCCCTTCTGGCCAGGCAGACTTTTGCAGTCCCCGTCAAAAACCAGTCTCATTCTCTGAATGGGCTTCACACCTCATGCGATATGAGGATGGTCGCTTTGCAAAACACCCTCGCTTTCGCTATTGGGCATTGAACACAATAATGCACACTCAGGCCAAAAAAGACTCTTCATGGTATCTTACCACTCACCCAGATGAACGACAGTGGACAGTTGAGCAGATAAGGGAAATGGTGGCAGATGCTGGGCCTGACCAGCTGAGGGAACTAGCAAAGCGTGTCTCCAGATCAGGAGTGAAACTTGCGGGAACTAAACCATTTTGGATGGCACGTCAGAGTGAACTCACCGCCATGATGTATCAGCTCCGTTCACCTCATGCATTCATAACTGCATCAGCTGCAGACCTCCAATGGCCAGACCTCCACCAGCACATGCCACAGTGGGCAGAATCACAGGATGTTGGGGAGCAGGCAGCCTATCGGAAAAGGCGAGAAGACTTAAATGACAATCCTGCCATTGCTGCATACTACTTTGTGAAGAGATGGGAATTGTTTGTTGATTTAGTCCTCAAAAAAAAGTTCCAAATTGTTGATATGTGGTGGCGGTAAGTCAATGCACAGTTTACTTGGTACTGTTGTCTGATTTGTATCAAATGCTTAGTTATGAGTGGCAGTTTAGGGGGAGTAGCCATGTCCATGGCTTCATCTGGTTGAGGGATGCACCACCTGTGGATGATTTGGACCTCGATGATCAGGAGTCAATCCAGAACTTCATTTCTTTCTGGGATCCAATTGTGTCAACCTGGAATCCTGATATGCATGCCTTTTCCCATCAACACGCAACTATCCTATACTTTACTAGAAGACACCCAGAAGGAACTTGCAGAACTCCTTAACCGTGTTCAGCGTCATTCCAAATGCCCTTCCTCATATTGTTCGCGACGAAACAAACACACAAAGGAAGTGCAGTGCCGATTTGGCTTCCCAAAGGACCTTGATGAGCTCACTAAAATTGTCAAGGATGAGAAAGGGATCATTGATCTTTGTACAAGGAGGAATGACCCAATCCTGAACTCCTACAATGATACTGTCATCCTGGGATGGCGTGGAAACATTGACTTCCGTCCCGTGACAAGCTTCAGTGCTGTTCTGGCATATGCTGCAAAATATGTCACAAAGGCTGAATCCAAATCTCGAACATATGATGAAGTCTTACAAGCCATCCTTGACAGGTCCAATGCTTCAGACCGGGTGCAAGGGGTATATCTGAAGCTACTTCAGACCCTCATCACTGAGCGAGACTTTTCCGCACAAGAGGTCTGCCACCTTCTCCATGGCCTGAAGATGCACCATTCCACACGCTCCTACATATCTGTCCCACTTTTCCCAAGGCCTTCACTCCCACTTGACTTTGAGAATGCAACACGAGAGTTCAAGACACTCAGGGAGAAATACAGCTTGCGGCCTCATAATCTTGGCAATCTGTCCTATTTAGCATTTCTGCGGAGATATGATTATCAAAGCTATAAAGAGCGTGGTGCGAATCCACAGCGTGCAAATGCTGCAAAGGAACGGGTAACCATCATGTATCCCATCCCACACCCACACCCTGAAAATGAAGAAACATATCCCTTCTTTTGTTTTGCAAAGTTGCTTCTTCATTGTCTATGGAAATTAGGTGATGCTTGGCTGGAGGATGAGGATTGCTGGGTGGAGAAGTGGTCTGAATGGTCTGAAGACCATCATGAACTTCTAAATGATGGACTACCTTCTTTGGAGCAGAGTAGGACTGAGGATCAGGATGGCCAGGATGATGAAGATGAATTAGAGGAGCTCACTCAGGAGGAGGGTTTTAACCCAATGGAGGGTTGGCAGCTTGAAGCATTACTTGGGCCCCATCGACAGCCAGGTATTACAATTGAGGCATTGGGGAGCAGACCTGTGGATCGTCAGCACAACTGGTGCCAATCTTCACTACCCATTGACATACTGAGGGATGCAGAAAACTTCCTGAAGGAGGCCAAAGCCATTGAAGGAGGCAGTTCAGAATTGGAATTTGCCCCTGTTGAATACCAGAAACTGAAAGGCAACCAGAGAATTGTCTTCATTCGGGTTATGGCATACTTCAAGGCACTATTTATGCACCTTCGGGACCGTATAAACCCTAAGCCTGACCCTCTCCACATTAACATTGATGGCAGTGCTGGGACTGGAAAATCCTTCCTCATTGGGGCCATTTGCACATCCCTTAATGAAATAGCTACTGAATATGGCATTCCAGGATCCCCTGTTGTGCGTCTTGCACCGACTGGGGTGGCAGCATTTGGGATCAGGGGTTGGACAATCCATTATGCTTTGGGAATTGGTGCCAAGAAGTGGGTAGGGTTGACAAATTCTGGGA